GGAGCACGTACAGATCGCCACACGCTGCCCTCCAGGAATAAAGGTATCAACCCAGACATCCTGAATGGCAGCGTTGCTCACCAAGTTCGTCGAGAACGTGGGGAGGTGGAGACCTGACAAAGAGCCGGAGGGGACTGCTGGACAAGGGAGGACCGTGGAGGCTCTCGCAACCACTGGGCCCCCAGAGGGGTCAGCCAGTGAGACTGGGACAGGTGCTGTGAGTGGTGTGACTGTGGTGCAATCACGGAAGAAGCAACGTGACGCGCCGGAGTCAAGCGTGAAAGTGTGCAAGACCTCAGCTGAGGCAGGACCTGTGGTAGTAGACGCACTAGCAACTAGAGCGTCGGTAGACTCACGGGCACCTAGAGCTGCAGCAGACTCACTAGCACTTGGAGTGGCAGCAGACTCACTAACACCTGGAGTGGCAGCAGACTGACTAACACCTGGAGTGGCAGCAGACTCACTAACACCAAGAGCAGCGGTCTTAACAGAACGATAACCTACACCACCAGGACGACCTCGCTGAATAACCCACTCACGAAGCTGCCGAGGGGTGGGGTCGTCCGGGAGAAGCAGTGCCCGCTGCTGTCCACCCCTGGCCGCAGCAACTGCCGCGGAAGTGGCCATGACAGACAGTGACTGTCAGGAGTAGGTCCAGCACCTCCAGCTCCTACAGCGCCAGCAGCACCTCCTACACTCCCAGTAGCACAAGTAGCAGCAGCAGCAGTAGTAACAGCAGCAGGGCGGTTCGGTGGGGGTGGGAGGCCGCACCTCCACCACTCCCAGCAGTACTCCCTCCAGTAGCAGCAGTAGCAGGGCGGCTCGGGCAGCAGCAGCAAACCGAGCAGCAGCAGCAGCAGCAGTAGACCAAGTAGCACTAGCTGTAGCAGTAGTAGTTGCAGTAGCAGCAGCAGTGACAGCTCGGGCTGGGCGGCGCGGCTCGGACATAGTGGCAGAGCAGCAGTAGCACTAGCTGTAGCAAGTGCAGTAGTAGGAGCTGCAGCAGTAGCACTAGCTGTAGGAATTGACGGAGTAGGAGCTGCAGCAGTAGCACTAGCTGTAGCAAGTGAAGTAGTAGGAGCTGCAGCAGTAGTACTAGCTGTAGCAGAAGTAGCTTCAGTCAGTAGCAGCTGTAGCAAGTGCAGTAGTAGGAGCTGCAGCAGTGGCACTAGCTGTAGCTGGAGTAGCTTCAGTCAATAGTAGCTGTAGCAAGTGCTGGAGTAGGAGCTGCAGCAGTAGCACTAGCTGTAGCAAGTGCTGGAGTAGGAGCTGCAGCAGTAGCACTAGCTGTAGCAAGTGCTGGAGTAGGAGCTGCAGCAGTAGTACTAGCTGTAGCAGCCGTAGCTTCAGTCAGTAGCAGCTGTAGCAAGTGCCGTAGTAGCAGCAGCAGCAGTAGCACTAGCTGTAGCAGCACTAGCTTCAGTAGCAGCAGCAGTGAGTAGCGCTAGCTGTAACAGGAGTAGCGTCAGTAGCAGCAGCAGTGAGTAGCGCTAGCTGTAGCAGCAGTAGCAAGGAGGAGCAGCTGCAGCAAGTAGCAGCAGCAGCAGTAAGGAGGAGCAGCTGCAGCAAGTAGCAGCAGCAGTTGCAAGGCAGTACAGGCGGCAGCAGCACTGCAGCAGCAGTTCAGGCGCAGCAGTGTAGCAGCAGCAGCGAGTGCAGCAGTAACACGGGCCGCGTGCGGGCCAGGCGCGGGCTTTACGAGCTGGGTGCGGGCCTGACGTGGGCTGTACGGGCTGCTCGACGGCCTGGCGCGGGCTGTACGGGCTTCGCGACGGGCCTACGCGGGCTGTACGGGCTTCGCGACGGGCCTACGCGGGCTGTACTGGCAGCTAGGGCGCGGTCAGGGGGGGTCGCACGTGACTAGGAAGGAAAATCGCGTCTAGGGCAGAAAAAGGAACCGTCTCGCCTAGAGCACGGTTTCGAATTTCGCGTTTCTCCTAGGGGCGCGACTCGGGCAGTAGATCGAAATAGTAGTGGTGGCCCCTTTTAAAAATTCGGTCCTAAGCAGCATTGTGCTCTTAATACCATGTTATAATCACTAGCTAGGTGAGGAATGATGATTAGGTAAGGGAGAGGAAGTACAAGAGTGTCGAGAGAGTTGGGTTGTACCCTCTAAGGTGTGACCCTACACAACCTAGAGTAAGAACAGAACAATATGTTTTGACAATCTCCTCCTCCTCTCCTCTCCTCCAGCCGCATCTCCTCCTCCTCTCTTCTCCTCCAGCCGCATCTCCTCCTCCTATCTCCTCTCCTCCAGCCGCCTCTCCTTTGCTCTCCTCCTGTGCACCACCAGCAGCTTCCTCCTCCTCACCAACAGTTGTGTTTGCTCGTAGATGGCGAGCGACCAGCATCCTTCGCCCTCCGGCTATCCCAGCCCTCCTCCGCGCTCTCCGCGCCCTCCTCCGTCCTGGCGTTCACAGGTGCTGCCGGTCAGCCACCGCTGTTTCTGTGCCTATCCCAGCTACAGCAACCGCTCTCCAGGCGACCTGGTGCCAGGCACCACTAGCTATAGCCGTAGGCAGTTACGGGGGTGTGTTGAATTATATTGCATATCTTATAACTGCCTACATCTAGTTAGTGTACTAGTTTAGGTATTAGCATCAACTGCTGGTGGTGTACCCTCCCTTTTGCCCATTCCTATATCTTGTATTCATTCCATAGTGAAACTACTCTTTTGGCCAACCTAAACTCCCTCGATAACCATCTCACTATGCTACTCTCCCTCCAAGCTCCTAATCTCCCAAGTTCTTATCTCAACAGAAATATCTGTTGCGCCTTGGGCTGGGTCTTGGCGAGTGACTTGGCTCCTGTTCGCTAGAGGACTCTCGAGGGATGCTTGGTTGAGTGCTCCTTGGGATTTTGGAAGGTGGGGTAGCAGGGAAGAGGCATCACGACAACAGTTGTTCACTGTATATGATGGCGACTATGCTGAATGATGCATTTTCATTTCTTGTATACTTGTGCGTACACAAGCAGAGCAGGATTCTTGTGATAACTTCCCTAAACAAATCCATGCATTAATAGGAGTTTAGCGATGAGGTACACTACGATGGTTTCATCCCCTTGCAAATTTGCCATCGCCTCAGCGTGTGTTGCGTGAGGTCGGATCGCGTCACGGGCCGTCAACAATAGCGCGTCTCCATCGACCGACCAAGAGAGAGAATTCGTGCGACAAACGACCACCTGCGAAACAGTCTGGCCAGAAGCACAGGTGACCTGAAGCACAGTTACACTCCAGGCGAATCCAGCTTCATCGCACATCGCCTGTGTCGCAGCCAGTGGGCTCCAATGTTTGTGGTCTGTGCGACTGCTGCGACACGGAGGGCGCAGGTGAAACGGGAGATGCAAGCGCACCACACCTGCTTTCACAGCGCCAGTGGCGCCGTTTTGGTGACCACAGCGACAAGTTCCGCTCTTGTGGTTCATTTCGCTCTCTCCTCTCCACCATCCACCCTGCTGGGGCAAACTATTCTTCCAGCTCCACCGCCACCAAGCACCACCCACCCTCGCCTCCCCCACCCACCCACTCGCCGAGCACTCGATTCCTTACCAAGCCAGCATTCGGCGCTCCGTCCTTTTCCATTCCATTCTTTTCCCTGCCCGCACCAATTCGCCCCACCTGCCTCGTCATCGCACCCAGCTGGAGTGGGGCTATTTTCCAAATACAAACATCCTCCACCTGACTTCTCCCTGAATTCTGACCAGACCCACATTGCTCTGCTGAAACGTACCCCCATCCCAGTCACGAGAGGTCACCCTCACCTCACCACCACCAGCCAACAGTGATCGAGGCTGCCCCAGCACATTCTCTATTGCCGCCGACTAGCGACGCGGCTGGTTACTGGTAGTTACTCCTGCTTTGCCTGCCTCACGTCACCGTAACTCGGAACCACGAGAACAGCCCCTCGACGCCTCCCCGCGCCACGCCAGCATAATCTGTGCGTCCTGATACCGGGCGCGCTGGCCCATTTGTAGCCTTTGCGCTCACGATCATCGTGAACTTGCTCGTATCCCATGTCTACTAGTCAGTGCTCCTAACGCAAGCCTACCCGTGATATCGAGTTCAGCCCTCATTGCGAATCTACTCGCGTCTCTTCGCATTCGACGCGTACGCCCTCCCATCGTTTCCACTGCCGGACGTGCCGCCCACCGCCCATCGCGTATGCCCTCTCGCTGCACTCGCTATTGCGTCGGCGCCATGCCCGCTCGAGTTACCATCGCGATGCCACTTAGCCTCGTCACTCCTCCCCGTTGGCCCCACACGAGTAGGTCGAGATCTTAGTGCGCGCACTCGGCTAGCCAGCCATTACTAAAGCCGCGTGACAGTCGCACAAGGCAACAGGCAGTCTCACGCCACTGGGGACTACAGAGCGCTGCTGCACCCACCCGCTTAGAGCGCTGCTGCACCCACCCCCTTAGAGCGCTGCTGCATATCTCCTTGACGCCTGTAAACCCGCTGTCCTCCCTCCCTCCCTTTCGAAGCAGCAGCACTGCTGTTGCCATTAGTAGCACGGAACGATCCCGATATAGTGTCTCGCGCCAGTGTGTGTCAAGGTAGACAGCTCGACGCCGCAATGCGGAAGTCGTCGCAGCAGGCCGGCAGGGCGCGATTGCCGTCCGTCCCCGCCATCGCGAGACATCGGCGCGCCACGACGTGCCTCCTGCTGCTCCTCGCGCTCCTCCGCGCCCCCGCCGTCTCCGCTTCCTGTACGTTCTCGCTCTACGCGCGGAAGCACGCGAACTAATTACTGGATCTACTTTTAAGGACCTCAATATGCAAGCACGCAGATAATCAGAATCCACGATATCGGGAAACTTGACGCCATGCCTCACCCATTCCGCCCCTTCCCTACACCCCGCCTTTCGTCCCGTCAACTTTTTTCCCCTTGCTCACTCCGCGCCTCGCGGTCCCAGCATCCAAGCACCCGCTGCTTCTCAACGGAGACTTCGATCTCCCCGAGTCAACGGCGGTCAACGGCAGCGCAAAGCTCGCGAGCGCAATGAGCGCGGTCCGCGGGGCAGTTGGCGCAGTGGCGCGGCGGATAGCGGGGTGGGACGTGGTGGGGTCGCGCATCAAGCTGCAGTCGCTCATGACGGAAAACCCGGGGCAAGGGCAGGTGGCGTCGCTACCGCGACAGTACCTTCTCATTCCCTCAGGTAGCCTCAAGGTCCCTACCCTCGCCCGACCTGTCTTCCCACTGTCCCCGGATTGCCCCCGCGTCTTCCCCCACTGTCCCCGGATTGCCCCCGCGTCTTCCCCCACTGTCCCCGGATTGCCCCCGCGCCTTCCCCCACTGTCCCCGCACTGGCCCAGCGACTTCCCCCCACTGTCCCCGCATTTCCCCCGCGGCTTCCCCCCACTGTCCCCGTACTGTCCCCGCATTTTTTCTTCCCCACACCCACTGCTGCCCTCCACTTCCGCCTCATTCCCCCTCCCTTGCATTTGCCCCTAAACCTCACTTTCCCCATCCGCGCGCCCCTCCCCTTTCCCCCTCTCCCCCGCAGTTCCCGCGCAAGCTGTCTCCCAGACGTTCCCCACGCGCGCGGGGTGCGTGTACGAGGGATCGTTCGCCATCCGATCGCACCACGTGGACGGCTGGCCCGCTGCCGTCATGCTGTCCGTGACTGACGTGGCGTCGAGTCAGCAGTTGCACTTTGACGTGCTGCATGAGAAGATGGTGAGAGAAGGAGGGGAAAGGGGGACGGGAGAGGAGGGAGAACGAGAGGAGAGGTGAGGCTGGATGGTGCGTGATGAGGAGGCAATAGAGCAGCGCGAGAGTGTGACACGAGACGAAGCACATGGCACATGGCACATGGCACATGGCACATGGCACATGGCACATGGCACATGGCACATGGCACATGGCACATGGCACATGGCACATGGCACATGGCACATGGCACATGGCACATGGCACATGGCACATGGCACATGGCATGCTCAACATCCCATCCCACCTTCCCTTCAACCCCCCCCCCCCCCCCCCCCCCCCCCCCCCCCCCCTGTGTGCGCCATGGCAGACCCAGGAGTGGACGGAGAAGCGCTTCACGTTCATAGCAGCGGGGAAGCGCGCCGAGCTCACCTTCGGTTCCGTGCCCGCCCAGGGGGGCCGCGCTTCCAGCGGTGACGTCGGCGCTGCCATCGACGACGTGACTCTTTCCATGCCCACCTGCTATGCGTATGTGCTGCACAGATGGACGGAGCCCCCTCTTCCCCCTCACCTCCCCCATTCTTCTCCCCAAATTGGTTTCCCCTGTCCCCCACCACAATCCCCTCAAAACTGCATGGCGCGCCGAGCACGGCGCAGCTTTGGGACGTCTCAAAACTGCATCCCCCCTCCCTCCCCCCTCTGGCACTGTGCGTGCAGGGCTAGCGCGCAGAGCACGGAGCAGCGGCTGCTGGTGGAGGAGCAGGAGAGCACGGCGCTGCAGGCACAGGAGGAGGCGGAGGCATGGGCGGCGGAGGAGGCGCGGGAGCACATGCGGAGCGCCAAGGACGCTGTCGCCCACATGCACTCTGCTGTCTCCGCCACCCTCGCTGCTGCTGCCTCTGCTGCCGCTGCCGCTCGTGTTGGTGGTGGTGATAAGGTTGGAGAGGAGAAGCGCGATGGGGAGCAACCCGTGGAGTCACACGTGCATGGGCGGGGGCTGCTGGGATCACCAGGCAGCAGTCAGCAGCACCACAAGCCCCCGCCGGCCCCTCACGCACCGCAGCACCACAGCCCACCAACCCCCACAACTAAATCACCATCCGCGCTCTTCCCTTCCCCAGTCCCCCCGGCAACTCGCAAGCTAGCCCACTCCACCGCTGCTACCGCTCCGCCGTCCCTGCCCCCACCTTCCCCTCCCCCGCCGCCACCCCCTCCCCCTGGCCCATGGTACGGGCTGTTCAGCGCGGGCAAGGCGCTGAGCACGATTCTGGTGCCCATGGGGGCGCGCAACGTGAAGGTCAGCGGTAACTCCGTGAATATAACGTCGGATAGCGGCAACAGCAGCGCCACCATCACCAAAGGTGCGCGTGCACAGTGCATTGCACGGGGAGTGGGCGTGTGCATGGGTATGTGGAGCTATTTCAAACTTATGGAATCGTCCCATTGCGGCCAGTGCCAGCTTGTGCCATCGTCGCCATTGCCTTAACACACCTTCTCAACAACCTCCCCACCTCCGTCTCCCTCCGTGCCCTCCCCCGTTCCTCTCCCCCATCTCCTTTGCGTCCATGCATGCGTGCATCCCCACGGCACGGCAGGGTCGCGGTGGCAGTCCCTGAGCAAGTACTCATCAGGGGTGTTTCAAGCGCGCATGACGTGCCCTGCCAACGACACCAACGGCCTCCTCTTCTCCTTCTTCGTGCGTCGCCCTCACTTCCCTTGTCAACCTTACCTCTCTTATCGCCCCTCCCTCTATCCCTCCCCGTCCCCACCCTCTCCCCCTCCTCCACCCACTCACTACAATCTTTCACCATTGCCAAACTCCCTTTGCCTTTCTTCGCACCTCCACGCTCACGTTACCCCTGCCACCTCCCCCACTGCATTACCCGCTCGCGCCTCTCTCCCCACCTGCCCCAGTTTCCCTACCCCCTTCTCCCTTCCCCCTATCCCTATCCCCATTCCTCCTTTCCTCTTCCTCTTTCCCCCCCATCTTCCCCCTTTCCCCCAGCTGAGCACGATGGCAGGGGAGGGCAATCACAGCGGGGTGAGTTTTGACTTCCCCGGGCCCAACAAGACGCAGCTGTACGCCACGCATCACGTCAACGGCCGTGCCTACCCCATAACCGTGCCGCTCAACTTCTCCTGTGACGCGCAGCCGCACCTCTACACCATATACTGGGACGCCAAGTACACCGCGTGAGTCGCCTTGCAAGGGTGGAGTGTATGAGTCACGTTTTGGGGGTTTCAAGCTCGCATTTGAAGCTTCCCATTGCGGGGTGGTGGATGAGAAGCAGGCGGTACAGGGTGTTGTACCCCACTTTAAGCCCGCTTCTCCCCATCCACCTGCTTCCCTTGCGCCTCATGCGACCAGCTCTGCTCACCTCCGTCCTCACCCGCTCCTGACCCCCCCCCACCCCTTCCTCCCCTCCGCAACCAGGTGGTACGTGGATCAGGTGTTGGTGCGGCTGCTGCAGTTCCGCCCCAAGCGCTCCTACCCCACACAGCCCATGTACCTGTACGGCACACTGCGCCCCGCTGCCGCCACCAACATGGCCAAGCGCGCGGGCATCGCGAGGGGCAACTACACCAACACCGCCCAGTGGACAGGTGTGTGTGTCTGTGTGTGTCCTTGTGTGTGTGTGTGCGTTTGCGTTTGAAAAGAAGGGGGGGGGGGTGTGCGTGTCTGTGTGCCACGGGCAACTACACCAACCTCGCCCAGTGGACAGGTGTGTGTGTCTGTGTGCAGCTTTCCGCTGCACTCCCACCCTGCAATCCTCTCCTTGTGCTTCCCCCGCCTTCCCCCCCTCCCCCAACACCGCCTTCCTACCTCCCCGCTCTCCCCCTCCTTTATCCCATCCCCTCCCCATTCCCCCCTTCCACCAGGCATCACGGTGATCGGGCCCCTCATGGCGCAAGTCGGCCCAGCACCCCCCAAGAAGCCGCCAGCAGCGGTGCAGTGGCCGCGCACGAACGGCAGTATCATGGCTCCCCTCATGGTGGACTACTGCGACGACCACTGCCTCTCCTGCGCCAACAGCACTGACGGCTCTGCTACCATCCGCTACGACAACCACTGCGGTGAGGCGGCTGCTGCTAGAATGACTGCTGCTTGTGATGGGTTCATGTTTGGGAGTAAGAATGTGAAAATCTGAGTGAGAGGAGTGAGAGTTTCATGGTGTTTCACCCTTGTCCCACGTACACTGGTGCATGGCATGGCAGGGTCTCGCTTCCGGTCATCACTGCCCTACTACTTTGCATTCATCAGTGGCGACGTGCGCTGTGCCCCGGGACTCACCAGCGGCATCGTCACCAGCTTCTATGTGCGTGCCGGCCTCACTCACCCCTTGTAGTTCCTTAATGCTCCTTAAAGAGCATGGTGTGCACTTGCACCATGCTGCCTGCCCTGCCGCCTGCCCTGCCGCCTGCCCTGCCGCCTGCCCTGCCGCCTGCCCTGCCGCCTGCCCTGCCGCCTGCCATGCCGCCTGAGTTCCTCTTTCACCCCACCGCACTTGTGATTGCGTGCAGATGTCATCACTGGAGGGCAGTGGCATACAGGACGAGATAGACTTCGAGTGGCTGGGCAGGAACAAGTCCATGGTGCAGACCAACTTCTACGTGGGCGGCGTGGGCGGGCGGGAGAAGATCGTCGACCTGGGCTTTGACTGCTCGCAGGCCTTCCATAACTACGCCATCCTCTGGACGCCCTCCCAGCTCGTGTACGTGCACTGCCATGCCGTGCCCTGTAGAGCCCGTTGTGCATGCTGCACATGCTGTGCAATGTGGTGTTTGTGCCAACTCACAACCCCCATAAGCAAATTGCTCTGGACGCCCTCACACCCATGTTTGTGCCTCTGCCTGCCATGGTCCATGACCCATGGTCAACGCACATGCTTCTTGCACATGCTCCGCTCTCCATGCCCTCTCAGTAAAATCCGCTTCCCCACATCTGCCGATCATTCATGCACTGCTTTTCTGCACTGCACTGCTGACACCTCCCCACCTCCTGCTTCCTTTGCCTCCCCTCCCGTTCTCTCCCCTCTCTCTGTCCCTCGCCTCTCCCTGCCTGCCCCTCCGTGCCCCACATCAGCTGGTTCATAGACTACAAAGCGGTGCGTGTGGAGTACAACGCCTCCTCCGTTCTCCCCGCCACCAAGCGCAGCAAGCCGGGCGCGCCTGTGCCGTCCAAAGCATACCCCTCCAAGCCCTCTTTCTTCTACGCCAGTATGTGGGATGCCAGCAGTGCAGGCAACGGGTGGTGGGCGGGCAACAGAAGTGCGTCCACCGTGAACAACCCCAACTGGGCCATCTTTGCCCGGTACAAGAACCTACGGGTGCTCTCGCCGGTGTTGTCTTGATGCGTTGGCAGCAGCACAAACCCACGTGGTTTGTGGCTGGAGTTTTGGGTGGTAATAATAAGTTTGATGAATAGAGATGGTGTTTGTTGCGCAACCAGCCGTGCATGGCTTATGCCTGTCTGTTGTATTATGAGTCGTCCATCATCTGTGTATGTATTATGCCTATTAAAGAGATTTCCACCAACATGTCAACCCTTGGAGACTGGTTGACTTTATAATGTAGTTCAAGCATTTATCTCAGCTTTTGTTGAGCTACTGTGAATGTCTACGAAGCTATATAGAGCCATGCCATCGGACCTTACCGCGTACACACGTCCATAGCTCGGATCCTTTTTTTCCCCACGGCACATTCGTTCCCGCCATTCTGTTCCCAGCAACCCAAGAGCGCTGGGACGTACCGCACACTGCGCGCTTCCGCGCTTCCTCTCCGCACTCTTTTCCGCCTTCTCACTTCCGCTCCGCGTTCCCCATGACTGCCAAAGCGCGCTCTGCGGCGCACTCCCCGCCCGCAGTCGCCCCCTGCCCCGTCTTCGCCAGCAGCGCGCTCGAATGGACTCCGCTCGGCCGCTTCCACCGCTTCCTCGGCGCCGCCTCCCTCCCCCGCCGCATTCAGCGCTTGCGCCGCCGGCGCCACCCTGCTGCGCGCAAGGCGCTTGGCGCAAGCCGACAACGGCGCATTCCGCCCTCCCTGTCAGCAGCCGCGCGGGGAGACACCCTCCTGCCCGGAGGCGCTCCGCCATCGGATGATTCACAGCCGTCGCCGCAGGACCATGAGCAGCAGGAACAGCAGCGGCGAAGGCGCCGCGAGGGGCGGCGAGTGCGGTTCGACGTTGGCGACAACGACGACGACGAGGCTAGGAAAGAGACTGGCGTTAACGACAGCAGCAGCCGGCAGCGGTTCGGATTGGAGCGTGGCGGGCATCCGTTGGGCGTGCAACCCCTAGGGAACCTCTTCCTGCGCACCGACCATAACCCCCTTAAACCCCTCCGCAACGCGCGCGACGCGGGGCTCGGCGCGCTGCGGCGCCTGCCGGACCCGATCCTGCTGGACATCGTGGGGCGGCTGCCCGCCGAGTCGCTGTGCCACGTGGGCATGGCGAGCCGCGCGCTGCACGTGGTGGTGCATCAGGAGGAGCTGTGGCGCGCGCTTGTGCTGGAATCCGCGGAAGGCGGGTTCGAATGGGAGGCGAGCTGGCGGTGGACTTACGTGAAGTGGCGCATGGGCGCACGGGGGCAGGCGGAGGGGGCGAGGGAAGGGGTGGCGGAAGGAAAGGAGGGGACGGAGGAGAATGGAAAGGGAGAAGCAGGCAAGGCTGGGAAGGGCGTGAAACGGAAGGAGAAGCATGGGGAGGAGCGCGGGGTGTTGCAGTACCGACCGCCATTGAAGGTGCGCCTCGCTGACCAGAACTTGATATTCTTCCACCCACCAACCCCCCGTTTTCTACCTTCAGTCCAAGACAGAGTTCTGTCACATTCACTGCAAAACCCAGAACCTCCGTCATTGCCCTCCTACCCTCTCCGTCCACCTCCATTTTCCCCTGTGATCCCCCCTCCGCACCTCTCCCAGGGCCCTTGCACCAACTCACCACAAGTCGCCCCCACATCCCACCCATCCCTATGCAACACCCCTCACGCCTCACCCCATTGAACCCTTGCCCCAAACCCCTTCCCCCTCACCTCCCCCCAGGTACCGGACTTCTATTCGGACTATTTCTTCCAGAGCTGGCTCTGCACCAGCCTCGCCCTGCCGCCCGCCTGGACCACCCACGACAACATCCCGCGCGTCGCCGCCGCCGCCCTCTCGCCCTCCGACTTCGCCGCCCGCTTTGAGCGCCCGGGGCGGCCCGTGATCATCACGGGCGCCATCAGCCACTGGCCGGCGCTGTCCCGCTGGCAGGACCGCGAGTATCTGCTCTCTGCAGCGGGCGGCAAGACGTTTGCGTGCGGGCCGGTGGATTTGAGTTTGGATCAGTACTGGCGGTATGCGGACGGCGTGCAGGAGGAGCGGCCTCTGTACGTGTTTGACCCGCGGTTTGGTGAGAAGGCGCCTGCTCTGGTGGGGGACTATGAGGTGCCCGAGTATTTCCGGGAAGACCTGTTTCAAGTGTTGGACCTGGGGACGGGTGATGGGGAGAATGGGGATGAGAATGGGGGCGAGCGGGACGGGGGGGGGGCTGGGGGAGAAGGGGGAGATGGGATAGACGGAAGTGCGGGCGAGAGGGGAAGAACGGGGGAATGTGGGGAAGAGGAGGCAGCGGAGGGAGGCGGAGAGGGGCAAGGGAAGAAGGAGGAGGCGAGTGGGCGGCCTGATTTCCGGTGGCTGATCATGGGCCCTGCACGGTCGGGGTCGTCATGGCACATAGACCCCAACTCCACGTGCGCTTGGAACGCCGTCATCACCGGCTCCAAGAAGTGGATTCTCTTCCCGCCCAACGAGGGCCCGCCACCTGGCGTGCGCGCGAGCCCCGACGGTGCTGACGTGGCGGCGCCGGTGTCGATCACCGAGTGGTTTATGAATTATTACGAGGAGATGCGGCGCGGGGCGGTGACGGCGTACGAGGGGGTGTGTGCGGCGGGCGAGGTGATGTTTGTGCCGCATGGGTGGTGGCACATTGTGCTCAACCTGGAGGAGTCCATTGCTCTCACTCAAAACTACGTCTCCAGGTAGGCATGCATGCAAGGGACACTTTCCTGCTGCATGCACATGGACACATGCGCACACACACTCATGCAGGTTCATGCTCAGTGCTCACACATTCACGTCCTCAGCTTCTTTCCTCACATGGCCGGCCACGTGCTTGTATCACTCTCTTCCAAGCCCTGTCTTTCCTCTCGCACCCTCCCTCCCAACTCTCTCCCCTCCCAACTCTCTCCCCTCCCAACTCTCTCCCCTCCCAACTCTCTCTCCTCCCTTTCTCCCCCTCCCTTTCTCCCCTCCCCCCTGTTCCTCTCCCGTCTCCCCTCTTCCCCTTCCCCCTCAAACCCCACCCCCCAGTGCAAACCTGTTGGACGTGATGCGGTTCCTGCAGCGCCCCAATGCGCGGGTGCTGGTGTCAGGCATGGGAGAGGGGCAGCGCGAGGGGCTGCACGACCGCTTCCGTGAGTGCCTGGCAGCGCACCGCCCGGGGCTGCTGGAGAGGGAGGAGAGGGACGAGGAGGAGCGCGAGCGTAGGCGCAAGCAGAAGGCTGCTTTCTGGGAGCAAGCGGCTAATGCGGGTGATGGGGGGTTCAGATTCGGATTCTAGAATGGTGTGCTGGTTTGCTGTCAAGATTAGAGACTTGGTGAAGGAGAAGCAGGACAGCTGAGGTATTTCAGTAGTTTAGGTGGTACAGGTACCGGTACTTGCTTTAGTATATACCGTGTCCATTGTTGCTGGAACAGTATGCTATCTGCAAATTACCGCAAGTTATTAGCAGCACTTGTTTGGAACATCATATCCATGACTAAAATATGGTGGTGCAATGAAATGGGAGTGGTAAGTGAACCAAGGCACATCCAAAGATCAGCAGAAGCAAGAAACGTCTAGAAGATGTTATCCTAATGATATTAGCTAAATGGAGCGGGTAACCCGCTTACGATGAGCGCACAGCCTAAGCCATGCGCCCCACAGCCCACAGCTGCTTTAGATACTCTCTCCATGCACCTCTGATTAGTCACTAGTCACGCACGACACATGGCAGCACAGGGGAACAAACACACAACAGAGCACACCAAAAGCAGCAACTCAAAGCAGCAGTGCACCAAGTAAGCAAGCAAGCAAAGGGTGCGAGGGAACGGAAGCAATGGCAACACACTCCCTTCAGAAGCACGCAACCTAAGCAGCACCAGGAGGAGCAGCAGCAGGGGGAGCAGCCGCGCTGTAGTCATACCCTCCCTGCGCACCACCTTCCGCTCCACCATACCCCTGCCCTGCCGCCTGCTGCCCCCCCGCCGGGGGCTGCTGCTGCTGCTGCTGCCCATACGCATCCTGCCCACCCTGCGCCTGCTGCCCCTGCGCGTAGTAATCATACCCCCCCTGCTGCGCACCATACCCTGGCTGGGCAAACCCCTGCTGCCCATACCCCTGCTGCTCGTACCCCTGCTGCTGCGGATACCCCCCCGGCGCTGCTGCATACCCCGCAGGAGGCGCCTGCTGCCCCTGCTGCTGCGGGTACCCCTGCTGGTACCCCCCATAGTACCCCGCCTGCCCGCCCTGCTGTGCGCCATACGCGTACCCCGCGTCCCCAGCAGGGGGGGGCGCCTGTGCGCCCTGCCCATAGTAATCGTATCCCCCCGCTGCTGGTGCTCCTCCTGCTGCCTGCGCGGGCGGCTGTGCGGCTGGTGGCTGCTGCGCTGGCGGGGCAGGCGGGGGCGGCTGCTGCCCCCCTGGTGGTGCGCCCGCGCCCCACGCCCCCTGCTGCTGGTACTCCCCGCCTCCTCCCGCCTGCGCCCCGTACCCTCCCGCATAGCCCTGCCCCTGCCCGTACTGCTGCGGTGGGCCCCCATACTGCCCCTGACTGTATCCCCCCCCGTACCCCGCGCCCTGCTGCGGCTGCTGCCCCGGAGGCGGCTGCTGGTATCCTCCGCCGCCCCCTCCGCCCTGCCAGCCGCCCGGGCCCGAGCGGTAACCCCCCTGCTGCCCCCCGTACCCTCCGCCTCCTCCCCCGCCGCCACCACCGGGGCCTGACCTTCGAGGCTGCATTGCGAATGACGCGCGGAGGGGAGAGAGGGAGGACGAGCGGCGAGGGCAAGAGGGCAAGAGAGCAAGAGAAGAGGCAAGAGCGGAGGGGGCGGCATACAAGAAGCATACAACAGCAAGGGGAGTGGGGGAGGAAGGAGAAGGGGGAGCGGGGCGAAGGGAGAGACCGAAAGGAGGGAGGGCAGGACGAGCACAAGCACAGGCACGCAAGCAAGCAAGATGGGAGGGACAAGCGCAAGGCAAGGAGAGAGAGAATGCAGGGGCGCCGGGAGGGGTGGGAGGGGAACGGGGGAGCACACAAGGCAAACAAGAGACGCAGAAAGGCAAAAGAAATTAATGAAGAGCACGACCGATTATGACAGGCTCGCATGGAACTCAGATGGATCACGGCGGGTTGGGGTGGCGAGGCATGGAGGCGAGGGCGGAGATGGGGAGGGGGGAGGGGAAGGGGGGTAAAGTGGAGGGGGGATGTAGGGGAGGTACGTACAGGGAGGCGGAGAGGGGCGGACGGAAGTCAGAGAGGGTGGGGGAACACAGCTTTTCAGCTCGACAGAGGGAGAGAAAGAGAGAGTCAAGACAGCAGGTGTCAACGAGACACAAGAATTCCGTAACACCACGCAATGCGAGTACAATGAGGAGCACGAGCACGAGAGGTGTAACGACTAAGTCCATCTCAAGAGACAAGAAGCGCGTAAGGAAGTCTAAGCACTTAGTCCAAGCAAGAGAGCGCGAGAGATGCAAGGACGGAGGGGCTCTGAAAGGGAAGGAGGCGCGCAGGCAGGCGGGGGAAGCGGCGTGCGAGGCCCGCAGAGGGCTGGGCTGGTGTGTTCTGGTGCGGTTTGGTGTGGTGCGCAGGGCAACTGAAGGAGCAGCGCCGCGCGGCACGCAGTGACGCGCGGAGGGCGAGTGGCGTGGCGCGCTGAGTGCGTCCCCTGCTGTGCTGTGCTCTGCACACTAGCGACACCCATGCAGCCAGCCGTGTGGAGTGAAATCACACAGGGTGAGACGACTCTGGGCATCGAATCACATCGCATGGCATGGCACAGCATTGCATGGCATGGCATTGCATTGCATTGCATCGAACCACATGGCACAGCATTGCAATGAACTGCAGGGTACTGGCATCGGTATAGGCATTGTCAGGGCATCGCGACGAGCAGAGACCACAACAGAGGCGAGTCACCGCAACAGATCTACGCCTTGCAAGTGGAAGGAAATCGGGCCGAGTTTGGAAGCATGCGCGCAAGAAAGCAGCGTGAATGGCATCGAGGGAGAACCAAGGAGACTCGCATACAATGCCAAGAAACACACGTGGATGTAGCGGTGTGGGATACGGGACCCACGACAGGCCTGCTAACGCTTCGGACCGTCAACAGCAATCGCGATGGCGGCGATGCATGGAGAGTCCACAGCATGCGCAACAGAGAGGACTCACAAAGCACGATTGTCATGGAGAGGTAGACAGAGAGAGGGGGCGGCAACAAACAGCGACCGGAGAACGACACACAAAGAACCACTCCACGTGCTCCAGAACGACGGGCCGAGGGGAGAGGAGGGGGGAGGGGGGGTAGGTGGAGCGGGGGATGTAAAGGAAGGGCGGCGAAAGGGCGGGAAAGGGGGAGCGCGAGGGAAGGAGGGGGGGAGCGGCAAGGGAACGCACGTCGTCGAGGACCTCTTTGATGAGGTCCTGCGCCATGTCCGTCTGCGCCTTGCTGCCCATCAGCATCACGTTGCGCTCCGTGCACCCCGGCTCCACCTCGCGATCGCTCTGCACCTGCGCGCACCGCCCACGCGCCACGGGGTGTTGGGGGAGAAGGTAGGACGGAGGCAAGTGTGAGCAAGGAACAGGCGCGACGAGCGTCGACGGAAAGAGTGAACGCACGGTAAGCGGACGCGGACGTGGGAGTGGGAATCGAGGGGGGATAGTCTGAATGAGGCGAAGCGAGTGAAACGGAATTAAAAGAAACGTGTGCCACGTGGTGTGCATGCAGTGTGACAGATCAGCAGCAGAGAGGGCGCGGGCATCGATACCTGAATCCTTGCACCGGAGCGCGCCTGAAGACTCTTAATCGTCTCTCCACCTCGACCAATCATGAGGCCGACCTGAAAGCAGCCGCACGGAGGAGGTGACGTGCGGGGTACACGACATTATGGAAATTAATAAGGATTTTTTTAATAAGGCGAACCACGATTAATAAACAAGCAGAGATTAAGTGCGACGCGAGTAAATGAAGGCACCTTGTTGTTGGGGATCTTGATGGTCACCGTCTCCCCTCCGCCCTGCGCTCCAGGGTACGACCCCCCCCCTCCGCCTCCTCCGCCTCCTCCGCCTCCTCCGCCTCCTCCACCTCCCCCTCCTGCCGCTCTGGCAGCCGCCGACTGCGCAGAGCAAACACAGGGCGAGAGTTATTGGGGTGGCACAACGTTATTGCGATGAGTAAGGGCCGGCCGAACGAGTCAGTCAGGTGAGGAAGGTCGAAAAAGAGAGGGAGGGTGCAGAAAGGGAGGATGGGAGTGGGGGAAAACGGAAGGGAAACCGACATGGAAAAAAAACAAGAAGCGGGTTGGCGGGCGCGAAAAGGAGAGCGAGCGGGGGGAGCGAGAAGGCGAGGGCGCGGACCTCCTCGAGCACTTGCTTGATGAGCTGCTCCGCCTGCGCGATCTGCTCCGCCGTGCCCGAGAGCTCCACGGGGCGCGTGGGCGCGCGCGGGTCCGCCTCCATGTCGCGCGTGACCTGGATCTTGGCGCCCGACTGCGCCTGCAGGTACTTGATCGTCTCGCCGCCCTTGCCGATGATCAACCCCACCTGTTACCGCACGAACGACGGCACCGCCATGTGCGCGCGGGTGGTTCCATCGGGAGTGGCGTACGCAGTCAAGAAGCGGGAGACCGACCGATCGGAGAGTGAAATTAAGCACGTATATTTATTTTTAACAGTAAAAACTTCACTTATGGCGGGGACCTAAAGCAATTGGCTTGCCACGGATCAAATCAGAAAAAGATCTGGCACGTAAGCAGGAGCTGAGCCAGCTCCAGATAGGAAACTCACCCGCGTGTTCGGCACATCGATCTTCTTTGACTGCGTAGCGGCGCCGCCCTGTTGGTCGTAGTAAGGCGCTGCGTCCCCCTGCTGCGGCTGCTGGTAGTACGGCGGCGGCTGGCTCTGCTGCTGCGCGCCAGCGCCATAGCCTGCACGCACGCACAACACATCCTTCCATCAGCACATCGGGCAAATCGCGCGGTTTTGTTTTGAAAATATTCAGAAAATTAATGCTGGTGAAAACACGCCTGAGAATAAAATGTTGGAGTTTTGGGCGGTTAAAAAGGTTGTTACCAGGCGGACCTTGCGATCCGGGAGGACCGGGCGCGAAGCTCGCCACACCACCCGGCGGGCCTCCGCCGTTCGCGCCGCTCACGCCGGGAGGAGCCACGGCGGCGGCAACGCCTGCGGGCGGCCCGTCGTCGAACTTGGACCGCTTCGCGCCTCCCGCGTTAAGGAACTTCTGCGCGAGCTCTTCCGCCTTGCGCTTCGCCTGATCGAAATCAGACAGCGCGATCGGTGCCCCAGTGGTCTGCGCAGCCGGGGGGGCTGTCGCGGGAGGTGCGACAGGCGGCGCTCCTGGTGCGGCTGGGGGAGCAGCCGCGGCGGCAGCCGGCGCACCAGGCGCAGAGTCTGGAGGGGTAGAAGTGGGCGCGGGTGCGTCCTGAGAGGATTGTGGAGGTGCGGTGTCAGCCATGGCGATGATGAGAGGACACTAAAAAATAGGCTTTACGAGGAACCACTAGATCGGAGCAGAAAAGAAACTTGAGCGAGGGAGGAAAGATAAAAGAAAGGCAATGTGAGGATGTCTGCGAGCCCACACTCGTGGTGGTTGGGTGGGAAAGTGGTGGAAACCGCCTGTAATCACTGCGACGTGACAATTGAACTTGATGTTACAAACCTTGGCACCAAGAATTAGAAAGCATCTTAAAATTGTTGGTTTATACTGTTATCTCATTACGCCCAGTACCAAGTGTGCCGCAGTCTAAATCTACTACAATGCCACCCTCGTGCATTTTAGTGCACGAGGAACAAAAATATACTTGTGCATATCTCACCACAACCCGAGACCCTCCAGACCGCACACCATCTTCCCACCAAGACCAACACACCACACCCGCCACTGCCTCCAGACCCTCGTGCATTTTAGTGCACGAGGAACAAAAATATACTTGTGCATATCTCACCACAACCCGAGACCCTCCAGACCGCACACCATCTTCCCACCAAGACCAACACACCACACCACACCCGCCGCTGCCCCCATATCAATCCACCCAGATCCACTCATGGGCCCCTCTACCCCCTTCTCTTTCTCCTTTCTTTCCTTGTTGCATACCCACTCCCCACAACCCCCACATTCCAGCCCATCCACCTCCTTCCACGCCCACGCCTCCTCCTACGCCCCACTTCCATGCACTCGAGCACGACTCGTCAAACATCAAAGTCGTCAATCTCATTGCCCGTGGACGAGGCAGACGAGGTGGAGAGCGAGGGCGGGAAGTAGGGGCCTTCGCAGTCAGCAGCATAAGGGTACTTCCTCCACCGGGTTGTGCACCCCACACACACCCACAGGGGGTTGTACCCCGGGTAGTCTGTCAGGTGGTCCCCTCCCAGCACACACTGCGCCATGCGCATGCCCGCCACCAGGGGAGCCAATGGGAAGCCGTACACGATCGGCACGAAGCGCGACCTGCGGCACTGGGGGCACTGCGCCGCTCTCTCACTCTCCAGACGCTGCCGAAACGCCTCTTGCCATGACAACGGAGCTGCAGGTACTGCTGGCTGCTGCTGCTGGTGGTCTGGATGCAACGGACGAGCTGAAAGGAAACGAGAAGGAAAGGGAGTACAAGAATCAGAACGAGGAGCATGACTAAGAGGCGGATGGGAAGGTCAAAACATAAAAATATCAGACTGGCAAATGGCTCTGCATTGTGTTGGTGACTTTTGTGTTACACACATAACCTGCATTTCACCACTGCTAGTCACTGGCACATTCCCACCTGTAACCCCAACCTGGTTGAGCCTGCTTACGTCTGTGCAACTTGGTGCCACCTTTCCACCTGTGCTGTCCCTTGCTCGCTTGCCCTCTCTCTCACCTGAGGTATCTCCACCGCTGCTGTCATCTCCCCGTGCTAGATCGACCCCCTCATGCACTTGCTCATCCGTCCTCTGCTGCTCCACCGCACTTCTGCTGCTAGTAACCGTCGTGCTCTCTTTCTGCCCCTGCTCCTGCTCCAGTTCCTCCTGCTCCTGCTCCTGTTGCTCCTGCTCTTGCTCCAGCTGTTGCTCCTGCTCTTGCTGTTGCTGCCGCCGCTGCTGCATAATAGCTTGAGTGGCAGAGTGCCCCCATCGCAGCAGAAACAGTTGCTTCCACAGGCAGTCACTGCGCGCCACTGCCTGCCACGCGGAGCACGTGAGCAGCACGGCGGCTAGGTCTTCAAAAGCCAGCCGAGCAAACACTGACTCCAAGATCCCTTCAGGCACACTCTCCCACTCCGCCGTCCCCATGCCGCCCCCTTCGCCCTGCCCCTCCGCCTTCCCTTCCCCATGCCGCTCCGCTGCGCCCTGGCGCTCTTTCTCCGCGTCATCCGCGTCCCCTTCGTCCGCCTGCTCCTGCAGCTGGGGCATCAGCGCTACCGCCTGCTGCCTGCCGCCTACCGCTGTCAGCCGATCAGCACTCTCAAGAACCGCTACCCCTCCTTCCGCCAACATTCCTGGCGACACCGGCGATAACAATCCCGGCAATACCTGCGACACAGACTTGACGCTCGAAGCGGCACACGTCAGCGCACCCAATCCCCTTCCCCGCGCGTCCACTTCTTCCACCGCACCTGCTTTCCGCCCTGCGGCGGAGACCTCTTCGCAGCCCGTGAGCGCTGCATCTGGAGTGCCAGCGACGACCGTGGTACCGTACGCGGAAAGCGACGAGAGAATGCATGCGCACGGTCGCGCAGACGGAGGAGGAGAGGCGGCGGAACATGAGAGGTCTCTACTGTCCGCGTCTAAAGACACCGGTCCGCGCGCTGTGACGACTGCTTCTGCGCCCGGGATTCCTTGCCTCGACGACACTGCGTCGCCGGAAGATGCGACGCCGTGCGCGGCGACACCCGGTAGTTCGGCGCGCGCCCTAATCTGCGGGTCTAGGATTGGCCAAGTTGACCGGTCCGCGCACGGCGAGCCCGCTAACACCGTCGCACCTTCTAATCCATCCTCTACAGTTCCGACGACAGGACCTTCAACCCTTTCCGCCGCCGCAAACCCCGCATCTCCAGACACGCTTGCTGAATCTGCTGCATCCGCTCTCCTCCCACGCGCGGAGCTCTCGACGGAAGAAGCCGATCGGTACGAATCGCGCGGTAAGGGCCGAGGAGCGAAATCCGGGCAGGAAGAGCCGGTCATGAGCTCTTCGCGAAGGTAGCGATTGACGGCCCAGTGGACCTTACCGCGCACGGCGCGCAGGTGGTTCAGGAGACGGGATGTGGACGCGAAGGGGCCGAGCAAGGAGCGCATTTGACGGAGCAGCTCTGCCTCGCCGACGACGCGGTCCACGGGCGCTGCGAAGCGTGAGGTGCGCGCTGCTGGCATGATGAAGGGCTCGTTAAAGAGTGGCGGAGGAAGCGGCGATGCTAACTCAGCAGGCGGCAACGGCAACGGTGACAGGGGTGCAGAACTTGACGACGGATGCTCCTGAGACGCCATTAGGTTTCTTGTCAGAGATTACTTTTACGTCCAGACCAGACCTAATCCACAAGCTCAGAACTAAACAAGCTGTGCTAAAGGCGCGTAACCATTTTGCACCCGACGGTTCGAACTGCGGCCTGTCGGTCGTGGCGAAATGTAACCGGCGTCGCTAATTATCGTAAGGATGTTCGCGGAGGTGTTGGCGACGTCGCCAACAAAACGGACTGTCGTGACACTATTTCACATTTCCAACAGTCCGCTTTGTGAACCGTGGACTGTCCTAAACCCAAACGGACGGTCCACCAGTCCTGGCTAGTTATTGGTGGGCGAATACTGATGTACAGTACATAATGACGATTGGCGAACGAGAATGATACCGAAAATGTCGCGAGCTGAATTACGAAGATACAAAGCCTCTAACGAGGCTACAGTTGTCGCAAAAATCAACAACCCCAAAAAAGTCACATTTGCCTTCGGACGGTCCGAAGTTGCAAACATTCAATTCGGACGGTCCCGTTCTCGATAATAGACCGTCCGCTTCGTTTTAAGCGGACTATCCGTCCAAAACGTAAAATGCAAAATGGTTACGCGCCCTGAGCTACAGAACTTCGGTGAAGGGAGATGGCCGATTTTAGTTGGAATGGCTGTGGTGATCATTCCAAAAAATACACACCAGCACCAAGAAGAGCAGCAGTGGTGGCGGGATATGAGGTGATGTGGATGGTGAGGCATGACATCACGGGTAGAGGCATCGTCGAGCGATGTGCGACGACAGTGGGGTCGCACGAGCAAAACATCCTGCGTCTGTGCGAAAAGCGGCCACCTCCGGAACAATAAATAATATACACAAACTCGCAACTTATCGCAGCGGCTGATTTTGAAGTCCTGCTGTTTATCTCTGCGCAGTCCGCACAGCGAAACACTCCCAAGGAAGGCGGAACTCCCGCAGGGATGCAAGTTGTGGAAAACGGAAGTGGGACTTTGAATTGGGGGAACGTCCTTGTTCTTTCAGCAACGGTATTGTCTGGTGCTTTACGGTGGTAGTGATTAGGGTACAGAACCGTACAGTACCGAGTGATCAGGCGGGCAAACGTGGAAGACAACCTTCGGGGTGTGGGATGTAATGTGAGACTGAGGGCGCGTCCCCTCCCTCGATCGATCGCGAGATCGCGGTGAAAAACCGATCGGGCACATCGATCGCAGGATTGGGGTGGGATTGGTAGGAGGTGACAACCGGGGATCGATCCCGAGCCCAAGGTGACAGGATCGAAAATACTAGGGGAAAGAACTCTCGATCCTACAGAAGCCGAGATCGGTGTGGCCACGAAGGCACATCGATCGTCATCAGCTGAGGTGACAAGATCGTTGGGCACCAGTTACTGTAAGTTCGCAAGCCATCTCGAAATCAGGTTACCCTGTCAATTGCGACACTGTAGCTGTCCCTCGATCGATCGAGGGCAGGATCGATCGAGGGAGGGGACGCGCCCTGACTTCGCAGCGCAGTGCAAATCCGCTAAAACTTTCTGAACCGTGTTCAACCCGATGGGACCTTCCTCCAAACATCCGACATCCTCCTGTGTTCCCCATCCACCAAATCTGCACATTCACGAATTACTTCACCTTCGCCACACCTTTCGCAACCCACGCCGCCTCTCAACGGGACCTCGGGAACTACAACAAGGGTTGGCGAAACCCAGTTGGTGCTGGAGCTGCTGGTCCTAGAGGTGCTCGCACTGGAGGTGCTGGAGCTGCCGCAGCTGGTGGTGCTTCTGGTGCTGGAGGTGCTGGAGGTACTGGAGCTGCTGGCACTGGAGGTGCTCGTACTAGAGGTACTGGAGCTGCCGGAGCTGGTGGTGCTCCTCGTGCTGGAGGTGCTACTGGAGGTGCTGGTGCTGCTGGTGCTGGAGGCGCTAGAGCTGGAGGTACTGGAGGTGCTGGAGCTGCTGGTCCTGGAGGTGCTCGTACTAGAGGTGCTGGAGCTGCCAGAGCAGGTGGTGCTGCTGGTGCTAACACAGATCTCAACTTCCCTCCGAGCTCTCCTGCCAACAGCCGCCTCCTTAGCACTGGAGCGGGTTATTTTCGTATCACGCTTCGGGAAACGAACCGCGGCGTTTCATTGAACGGCAGCTTTTTTGCCACGTCACTAGATTTTTGAGTTTTGTGTTTCCAACCGTGTCTCTTTGCTGGCCATTGAAACAGCCTACGTCTTTCAAATTGAGGACATGGGATAATAGATAATAGATTCCACACTTGGCGGTCCAATCCGAAGCTGGGAATCGTTTGGCGGTCCAATCAGAAGCTGAGGATCGTTTGACGGTCCAATTAGAAGCTGGGGATCGTGTAGTCAGCGAATCGTTTGAATCCACCGTAGTCCAGGGTGGCATGTTTGGGACCACCATCAAAGCCAGCAAGGAGAAATTCCTACCGTTGACTGTTTTCACCGAATAGCTCGTTCCAACGATCCGCAGTTAGAAATTTCACGCATTCTTCATGCTCCCTTTCAAGTCCGCCTCTTCTCCTCGGAATTACAGATCGTTTTCGCAGCCTTCTTGGCATGTTTGCCAGTCCAGCCTTCTTGCATCGTATGGTCGGATGGCGGAGCTTCATGACCTCGACCATGGGACTTTCTGCAACGTAGCGAGTCAACTTGCCTGTCGTTGTTTTCGACCATGGGACTTTCTGCAACGTAGTGAGTCAGCTTGCCTGTCAGGTGCAACCACCATTACTATTACGCTTTTGTATCAGCGACGTGATTCCTTTGATGTTCGCTACCTTCAGCTTGTTTCCACGCCGATTCTGACGTTGATGCTCGTTGTTTCACCATTCGCAGGACATAATTGAATTGTCGTGGATCTGCATCTCTTCCTCGACCTCGTCGCGACGCCAACTACAACGTGGCTGGAGCGACATCGATCTCCCCGACTTGTGACGGTGAAGGTCGAATGTATCACCTTTCACCACCACTCACCACAGAGCCTCCTCCACCCGGTTAAGGTTTGGTAAAGGTTCGGTACAGGTCTGGTAAATGTTTTTTTTTTTTTCGGTACAAGTTGGTATTGGCTCTGTGGTGGGTCAGCACATGTTTCTTCACTTCGCAAAGTCGTTATTTCCGTTGCATGCTTCTTCACTTCCGTATACTAACTACAGGTTTTTTCTACACTCGCAGGTTCTAATGGAGATTGCGAGGCGTACTTTGAAGATTAAAGAGGAGCACCATCCTTTGGCGTCCTTTCATGCTTCATGGCGGACAACAGTGGAGAAGCTCCACGGCTGGTGAAGGTGAAGGTTCAAAGTATCATTTCCACCCTTCACACTCCAGAGCCACCCCCCTGGTTAAGGTTAGGTACAGGTTCAGGTATGGTAAAGGTCCACCTAAAGGTGTTTTGGTTGGTATTTGGCTCGTTTTTTCCACGCTTTTTTCGTTTTGCATGCTTTGCTGTCAGACCATTACTAATTATTGTTCATTTCTTCATTTGCAGGTTTTATATGAGGGTCTTCTGCATTTTTCGGAGGAGCAACATCTTATGGCGTCCTACCATGCTTCATGGCGGACAACAGAGGAGTATCTCCACGGCTGGTGAAGGTTGAACGTATCAACCATACCTTCTTCACGCCACAGAGCCACCCCCCTTGGTTGAGGTTCAGGTTTGGTAAAGGTGAAGGTGGTAAAGGTCAAGGTTGGTAAAGGTCCCCCTAAGGTTTTTTGGTTGGTATAGATAGGCTATGTGGCACTTGCACCATTGCAGCACCGTCCGTTTTTGCATGCTTTGTTTACTGCTCATTACTAACCTAGTTTCTTTGATATTCTTGCAGGTTCTATTCAAGGCCCTTGAGCCACGCACAGCTAAGCTCCAAGGCGGGGTGAACGTACCTGCCAACAGCACCTGGCAGGTGCCTCGTGTCAAACTATATATATGCTATGGTATAATGGGTAGGCTATAGTGGGGTAGCCAACATGGGGTACAACCCCTTTAGGTTTTGTACTTGTACCAACTCTCTCGATAGTTTACACCATTCCTGCTTGTTAATTCTTAACATGGTTTCAGAGCAGTAGATCCGTAGGACCTTTTTTTTTTTGCCCACCATTACCTAGTGATCGACTACGGTTACCGCGTTACCCCACGCCCTGCCCTGCGCTACGCTGTCAGCGCGCGCCCTGCCCTACCGTGCCCTGCGCGCACTGGCGCCCTGCCCTGCGCCAGCGCCTTGCCCTGCGCCAGCGCCCTGCCCTGCTCCAGCGCCCTGCCCTGCGCCAGCGCCCTGCCCTGTGCAAGTGCCCTGCCCTGCCCTGCGCCAGCGCCCTGCTCTGCGCCAGCGCCCTGCCCTGCGCCAGCGCCCTGCCCTGCGCCAGCGCCAGCGCCCTGCCCTGCGCCAGCGCCCTGCCCTGCGCCAGCGCCCTGCTCTGCGCCAGCGCCCTGCCCTGCGTCCTGCTGCAGCCCGCGCCCTGCGGCAGCTGCACGTCGCGCTCTGCTGCCCCGCGCGTCGCGCTCTACGGCAGCCCGCGCATCGCGCGCTGCTACCCCACGCGTCGTGCTCTGCTGCCCCGCGCGTCGCGCCCTACGGCAGCCCGCGCGTCGCGCCCTGCTGCCCGCGCCGCCCAGGCCGAGCCGCGCCACCCGACACGATCCGCCCTTCTGCTCGTGCTACTGCTGCTGCTGGTGGAGGTGCTGCTAGGAGTGCTGGAGGTGCTGCAGCCTAGCCTCACGAGCTGCTCTGCTGTTCGTCTTACTGCTGCTGCTACTCGTACTACTGCCTTCACTCCGTACTGCCCTAGAGGTCGCGCTCCTCCTAGCTTGCCCGCCATGACTTCACTTTGTAGTCGCGGTGGGAGTGGTGACGGCGGTGGTGGCAGCAGTGGGAGTCGTGGCGGCCGTAGTAGCTGTCACTGTGGAGCTGTGTGGTGTGGAGTCTCTGGCGGTGGCCAGATGCAGCTACGGCGGCGTCCGACCCTTACGCCCCAGCAGCTTCGTGAGTGGCTTTACCAGCGTGGGACGTCTCCGAGTCCTGGTCGCTGTCCG